AAAAAAAAGCTTTAGCTGATTTAGTTGGTGAAGTTTAAGATATTTTGCATGCTTCTATGAAAATTGTATTGAAACCTCTTATTGTTTTATTGTAGGCTCTTGGTAAGTTTGGGATCATTTGCATAGAAGATCTTATCCATGAGATTATGACAGTTGGTCCTCGTTTCAAGGAGGCAAACAACTTCCTGTGGCCCTTCCAGCTTAAGGCACCTTTGGGTGGCCTGAAGAAGAAAAGGAATCACTATGTTGAGGGAGGTGATGCTGGAAACCGTGAGGATTATATCAATGAGCTCATCAGGAGGGTGAACTAGATTGTGTAAGATTGTCTAAAGACCTCAAGTTTTCTTCGGGTGTTCCCTAGTGGTAGAGAAATCTGATCATAGCCTTCAGTCAGTTCAGTAGGATGGTCTGCAAAATTTTCACTTTTGAATTTTGTTTCAGGTTTGTACTTGTCCTAAAGCTATACTTAATTGATAAAAGACTTGTTTTACTGAAACCCAGTCTAAATACGTTAATTCTACTTATTTGGTCTAAATGACCCATCTTATTTATCCTTGTCATGCATTTGAGTAATAGTACTAGAATAAGTTACCTACACTGTCAAACTTGAAATCCAAATGTTTGTTTTGTGAGGTTAGAAGAGTGTGGTGAGGTTTGTTTTCTGAAAACCTGAATAAGTATTCTGAGTATTCTGATCCTGGAAAGCCAATTTTTTTCTGCTGTTTACTGCTATGGTTTTCTTATTTTGTAATGTTGTATGTATAAACTTCCTAGTAGTCTCATCTATTTTCAGTACTCTATGGATTGTCTGGAGATTAAAGACTTCTTTTGGTGTAACTAAGTATATTGGTCTGGAATCATCCATCATATGGTTGTCACTTGTGCATTCAAGTTGCAAGCCAAGAATAAGTTGTTAGTGTAGCCTGGCAGTGTCAGATGTGGAAGTCCAAATGTGAGGTATGTTATTGTACCAGGGTGCAGTTTGTATGTGAGGTTAATTTTCTGAAAATTTGGAAACATGCTCAAGTATTTTAAGCCTGGAGTTTGAATTTCTCTGTTTGTACAACATTTTTGTCATAGTTTTTGTTATGATTTATATATAAACCCCCAAATACTAAAAGATGGTGGAATCTAATAGGAGTTGCTTGTATGTGTAGTTATTTTGTAAGCAGAGGCAACATTTCCCCACTCAGTTTAAAAAACAGATATGTTTTACAATTGAATTCAGATGTCTTTTTT